GCGTTTTCAAATTTTGCTACTAACAAACAATTGTACTGTTTTATTTTCATTACCCATGAATCATCCAGTTTCTCCCTGAAGGTATTTAAAAGACGAGTAGATGAGGCATTTAGGGACATGGTTTAGTGGGTGGTGGTGTTGGGTTGACGGTTGGACTCGATGATCTTAGAGGTCTTTTCCAACCTCAGTGATTCTATGATTCTTGCAAAACTAAGAATCAGTGACTTTAAAACAATCCCCTTAATCAATAACTTCAAATTCTAATGGGCCCAGGTCAAAAAGTTATTGTAAATTTAAATTTGTTACTATTCAGTTTCATTAAACGTTTCCAGCCTAGCATAAATCACTGGCTCTACCTACTTTCAATATTGCTATTTATTAATTTACAACAAGGGAAGAGCTAGAAAAAAGTAGAAGATGCTTCTTACTAATGTACAGTGTAAAGCCCAGCATGCTTGAAGGTCTGCATGGGCCCATACACACAGATTTAGCGTCTAAAACAAGACCTAATGAGAAGATACGATGTATTATTTTGTTCAAGAAATATCAATTACGTTATTAGGAATACATCATAGAGACCAATGGTGGTTTCATGGTTTCAACTTGTACCATTTAAAGAAAATACTATAAAATACCAGTTCAGGAATTCATAGCCCTAATTTTGTTGATAAGGTTTTCTAAAACAGGCCAGGCAGACAATTTATAAATTTACCAAAGTAAAAGTGAATTGAGTATTCAAAAGTAAAATTTGATAGCAGCTATAGGAGAATGCATGGAAGGGTGAATATATGTATTGGGACTGCGCATCTGTAAACGTAAGTACTGATAAGGAAAGTAAGCATTCAACATTGCCAGGCTCGTAGTAGCCTAGATCTTCCTTCCAGCTGATATTTTTAACTAGGTTTTGCAATAGTGCAATGGATTTCCTGGTCCTTGGAGCTCCTGGCCTTCTATCTGACCTCTGTATTACAAGTTATGACTGCTTGCAAAGGACTGAAGCCAAAAGTTTTTGTCCACATCACCGGCTGTCAAAACACAGGGACTTCTGTCTGGGTGTAGATACTTAGTTTTGGAAAGGCAGGATAGAACATTTTGTTCATCTTTCCTCATGCTTCTCCACGCACACACACACATGCACACACACCAGCACAGATACACAGAGAAACAAACCAAAGCCCTAATCATGCTATACTACTTTAGTATCTTCCATGTAACCATAGAAAGCAATCTATAGATATTAAAGCTTCACAGCAGCAAAAGCATTAAACCCATTAGGTAATCAGAAAGCTGAAATAACTATCAGCTGGTCGGTTGCAAGGTTAGGAAAGGTTCAGGAGTTCTAATTTCCAGTCCTTTAATCTAAGCCCTAGGCCACAAATAAGAAATTAGCCTGGAAATCATGATCAGCCTTGAGATAACAAAACTTTGTTTGTACCTTGACAAGCAGTGAACAGTACCAATTTCACTTTATAAGAAGCTTATTGTTGCAAACCTATAGAACATGTTTGCTTTTTAGTATCTTAGTGTTGTTTTTAAGAAAATGAAGTTGCTCCTGGACCTTGAAACTTAGAATGAATTAAATGACACGTGAATAAATATATATTAATTCTTTTTTTATTAAAGTATCAAAACAAACTTGAGAATAGAAAACAAACTGCTTTTAATGCATTTTAAAGGTTCTCCTGAATAAAGTATACTTTTAGAAAACTCATGCAACATACTGCTCCTGTCTAGCTGTTTAAACATTTTTTTCCTGGGCACAGTCAAATGAACTTGAGTACCATCACTTCTAGAGTAGCGTGCAGGAGCACGCATGCACACACACACATACAAGCAGTAGAAAGCAGCTGTGACTGCACATATAAAGAAATAAAAATAGATTATCTTCTGACAATAGTAGTGGTACCATATTAACATTTGGCATGCTAAGTAAATAACATCAAGCAACAAAAAGCATGACGCCTGCGTCACCAGTGATACGGTTAAAAGCAACCATACAAATTCCCTAAGGGAGACATATGAATTCTGTCATTATATTCTAGTCTCTGTGGTAACACCTTATAACAGTATAGGAGGCAAACAGTTTTGTCTGCTGGTATCTGATGCGCAAAAGGCAAAGCCAAGGTGTACGATACCAGGATGATGCCTCAGTTTTGTATTTCCACATTACAGAAGTCAAATACCGATGAATGTAGTTTGACAAGTTTATTGTAACACACTTCATGTATATCCATTCTCTGATAAACAGCTGGCCCAATTCCCTGTGGAACTTGCCCTCTAAGCCAGGGAAGTAGCAGCAGAGGCTCCAAACTCTGCCCACCAGACATGAATAAAACTCTCACGGAAGTCAATGGAAGCTCCTTCCAACATACAGAAAGACAATGGATTCTCAGGACAGAATCGGATCTTGTATGTCATCTTTGTAATACATTAATTTTGCAGATACATGAAGTACATATCTTTAAAATGTGATATAGGACATTACAATATATCCAGATCTTAAGAAAATGTACTAAGAAGTTCTGTTGCAGAATATAATGATCATATAAGGATCAGGTATGCTATCTGATAGACTCATCTGGGACTTGTAGGGTAAGAAGCTTATGGCTGAGGTATCTTTAATTTTAGCCTTTAGGACAAAAACACAATTTCAACACTGCGTAACTGGTGTAAAATATTATGTACTGTAAGCTCCATTCTTATCGTCTGCTTCACTTAAATTGTGACATTGAGCAGCTAGATACCACTGATGGAGGTACAGAATTTTGGAAGGTATAATCTCTGCACCCAATCGTTCAAGATACTCAGTGCCTCATCTGTGGAAAAGATGAAGGATAAGTGTTTTCAATAGTGGTATCTCAAATACAACTGGTAAAGTTTAGGAATATATAATATTAAACACCAAGAGATAAAAGTAAAAAGACAGCGCAACACGTGTGTTTTCAGTTTTATCTTGCTCGCAGTATTTATTAACTTTACTCGTTACGATATTAGTGATAAATAAGGATAGTATTTTCTTTTACAAAAAATTGTAAGGATATATTTTATAGGATTAAACAATCTGAGAATTTCACAGAAACATCAGAACTTAAACGCTCATAGCTCCAACTGTTTTGTCCAGCAGCTCTTCTACCAGTTCAAAAACATCTACGGTTAGTATTTAATAAAAAATAAAAACAATTATTCACTACATCAAAACTCTTGCCTCCTTTTGATTCTAAGTAACACTTTTGATTGACTGTAGTTGCCACCCAAATGTAAAATAAAAGTAGCTGCAATCACAATTTTTTCCCTCTTAATCACCAGGCAAAAGGAAGTAATCCTGACTGATGCAAAAAGGTTTGTCAAGCTCTTATGCTTATAAGAGCTATCTGCATAAGCAGACCCACTGAAGTCCATGGAACCTCTTCTGTGAGTGAGGGTTAATAGCATGAATTGAGGCTTGTAGGATTAGATCCTAGATGATTTTTCTTTTTAAAAAAAAAAAAACTTTTCATGATTCATGAGCCTGGGATTCAGTCCTGCAGTTCTTTACTCAAGCAAAACCTGTATCAATATCCCTCCGTAGTTAGTTTCCTCTTTCCAGTAGGTCCTAAAAACTTTTCGATTCATGAGCCTGGGATTCAGTCCTGCAGTTCTTTACTCAAGCAAAACCTGTATCAATATCCCTCCGTAGTTAGTTTCCTCTTTCCAGTAGGTCCTATTCACCAAGTCACCAAGCAGTGGTACAAGCTGCTCTCCAGCAATTCAAGGAAAAATTGTAGTCCCCAAAGGATAGTAGGTGGAGTTCCAGCTCATAAAATACAAACTTAGCTACATGGACATTTTGCAAGAAACATTTCTTTGTCACACCTACTAGGCTTTTCAAATTCAGTCTGAGATGAGTCATTGAAAAAACCCACACAAGTGTTGTGAAAAAAATGACAAAGCTTAGTTGGAACTAAAGGCTTTTTGTGTGTTTGTGTATGTGTGTGTTAGGTTAGAATGCAACATTACGTATCAGTATGTTCTGCCAGAAACCATCCTCCTGGAAACTTCAAAACTTTAAAAATACTCTCGGTCTGCTTTCCCTACCAGCAACAAGGAAAAGTAGTGTCCATCCAGCACAGCTGTCTGTACCATGTGCATCATCGGAAGTCATAGTGTTCTAGCACAAACGTCGTGAGTGCAGATACTGTATACTAGCAGAGAGCTAAAACTTCTGAAGCTGTTGTCTGTAGCTCCTAGGAACAGCAAGTATGACAGGTGCAAAACCTATATTTGAGGCAGAAGACTCTTCAATTTGATTGAGACCAGATCTTCCAAGAGGAAGAATCGCTGTCAAGCCAAAATGATTCTTTCCGCTTCAGAAAGCGATCTGCCCTTCCTAAAGGCTCTTGACTAATAGAATCCTACACATTATGTCAGATCCTCCGTGGATTCTGGTAGTTGTTAAAAACACTACAAATATTTCCATGTTTGCCATATCACTTAACCTTGTAACGTGCCTTCTTTGATCTGTTGAATAAAAAGATTCCTTTCATCTTCAGGTGTCCTTCCGTTTTGTGCCCGAACTATACAAGTGGGCCTGTGAAGATTTAGCATGTATATCAAATGCTGCTTCTCATTCTTTAGCTCTTCAATCTGGGCTTTTAATTCTGCATTGATAGTTTCCAGCTTTTCTGATTCCTAGTCACAAAGAACACACACAACTATTAGACTGAGTAGTTCAAGTAGTTAACTGCAATGTTTATCTAATAGTTGCAGTCTTCTATTGGTGGGAAAGCATATGGCTAGCAGAGAAAAAAATTGCATGTTCTTAGTGTCCTGTACTGATGAAAACATGCATCCCCCAGTCGATAATAGTCTAAAACCCAGATTGACAGTTACCTTCTTTGACCTTTAGAGAAGTGTAACAGAAGTTGAAAAGCCAAATTCAGTCTTGTATTCACTTACAATGACAGGTATCCAAAGCATTATTGCTATCTCCTGCAAAATTATTCTGAACTTTTTGGGTCAAAAATTGACCCAAAATTATCTGTGCTTCTTATTAACTCCCTGGAACGTCATGTCACATATTCTGTAAACCCATGTTAACATGGGTAAAGATACCCAAGCTAACAACGTAAGGACATAGCTTCCCTCCCCCCCCCTCCCCGGATATAGACACAAAGACAGGCCTGATGCTGCTGTAATAGTTTTATATCATGGCAGAGCAGGTGAAGACACTACTGGGGTCTTAGGACAGAGACTTCAGGGCTAAGCTACTATACCACTCATTTCATAATGAAGTCAGAGATTACTTGTCAGTGTTTGTAGGCTCTTGGTCTCCACAGTGGATATTATACAAAATGAGATTTTACTTCTTTTTGTGTTCAATGTACACATTCAATTCATATTATCCCCATAGACAAGATTGATCACTGAAACAGTAATCTCTTTTCATTCCTACCATGCCTTCACTTTTTTCCAGTTTTAACCAGGTTTCATTTAATATATAGCATGTTCATTTTTTTATAACTAATGTTTTGATGGGTTTACAGAGTTTTGGGTGACATTTTTCTGTATTTCCTACTATGACAGTGCCCCTGTGCTGTCTGTTCAGATCCTGGCAGGATGACAGATTAAGAACAATTCAAGCCAGTCACTTACTTTCTGCAAACATTCTGTTTTTTCCTTCTTTTTGTTTCGACACTTTGCAGCAGCAATTTTATTCCTTTCCCTTCTTCGCTTTTTTCTTTCATCCTCTTCAGGAGAAAACTATCCCATAAAAACAGATACACACAATCCGTAAGATGTTGTAAATACTTGACCTGTATTTTGATAACTTCTGCATTTTTAAAAGCAACATGGATAGTGTTGTCAGTGCTCACAACATGAGTTACATAAGGATGCGATTCTGACCTTGCTTGCCACACAGTAAAATGGTAGTAGCTCCATTAGAATTGTCAATAAAAACCTGACTGGAGTTTGGATGGATGTAATCCACGTGATGGCTCATTTTAAATCAATGGTACTCAAAAAACTTGCCAAGCGTCTCCCCAGGCTGACTCCCACACCTCTATCTCTCCTCCATTCCCCAAGGAGGAAAAGGAGCGAAGGGCACGGGGAGCAGAATGGAGGATGTGGCATGAACGGGGCATTGAGAGTGCAGCGAACTAAAGGCAGTGCCGAAAAGAGAATATTAACACAGTCCTTCAAGCTTTGTTTTGTTTCCTGTGGAGGCTTAGACCGAGGTGTAGCTATTTCCCTAACTTAAGCTATTTCTCCACTTTATAAGACAAATGTTTTTCATGGAGACTATTATCTCAAAGTAAAAACCTAGTGTGGACATAGCACGGCCGTGTCTACCTCAGTAGACAGTAGGCCATGTGGGTCCTACTGCACTGTCCTCACTGAAGTAAAGCTGCAGTGACTTATTCCAAGTTCAGCCACAAGTAGGCAGGGAAACCAGATTGCTCTAAGCACTGTAAAACATCGTCCATAATCAAAAATAAAATATCCAACTATAGGTCTCAATGGAAATGAGAAATACCGGAGGGTTTCCCAGAAGCATTTAACAGAAAGCCAAGCAGCAGGCTTAAAAGAATCAAATACGGTGGAGAGGTTGTCTGTAGTTGATATAATTTCTGGTCTTGCCTTGAAATTTTATTAGAGAATTAATCATTCACACTGAAATGCTATTTAAAGACGCATACCTCTGTTTTCATGATTGATGTTTCAATTGGCCTTTCAGAAACTGTCACCGTGTCCAATGTAGAAGACATCCTGTGGGACTGACGCTTATTCTGAATGGCAAATCTCAGTTCCTCTTTCACCAGTGGGGTTAAATTTGTGAAATCATCAAACCCCAGTGACCCTGCAGGGGACAAAGTGGGAACAATTGCGGAGGCGCTGACTTCTAATGCAGATACCTGGCCTGAGTGTTGGACCATCATTTTGCTGAAAGGTAAAAAGAGATAATAATAATAGTCTTTCAACAACTTTAGAAAGGCAAATAATATCTCCTAGAGGTATATTTTATAATGTGAAATAATACTGTATTTCTTGCATTGCTTCAGTCCCCATTCCCCATCTACCCCAATCTCTCATGAGAGTCGAGCAGTTAAGAATTTGGTCACTAGTAAAAACTTCTACTTCAGATTAACTTCAAGTTGGTATTTAAAAATAATAATAGTATTAGCGTGTCACACAATATCTAGGTCTTTCTGAAACTTAATATGGAGAAAAATTGTGTATATGTATGTATACTTCAAAGTTTTAGACTGGTAATGTGTGGCAAATGAGAACTGAGTGAATAGGAAGAGAAAGAGAATAAGGAACAAAAATCAGAAAGCAAAGAAATATTATTATTATTTAAAGCACAGAAGGAGTTTAAGAGTATCTCCATCCTCAGAGCTATACCACCACAAAATTCCAGCTTCAAATGGACAGAGCGTAACTTGATCTCAACTACATTTAGGCAAAGCTCAAAGAGTTCTACTAGGAGCTGAAGTCTGCTAACCAAGACAGAATCTGTCACTAAATTATCATGCTCAATTTTACACAGAGTTGTAGATCTGGCTATAAACTCCTGAAAAACAGTTCACAAGAGCCGGCACAAAGGTAAAAGTCTATACACACTCTGGGGCTTCAAAGCACAGGCTGAGTTGGAGAGATTGAGTCATGAAAAACGTGAAGCCATTTGTTTCATTCCTTTGCTCTTGTAAAATCTGAAACTGTCCTCATGTGCCCTCAACAAGAGGCTTGAAATTCTTAAATATTTATGGTCAGATGTCCTGCTGATATAAAACAGCGTGACTGAAGAGACTTCAGGGAAATTATGCAAATGGACACCCATGAAGGAACCTCATTTCTAGTAGTTTTCCTAAGAAAATGAACCTACCCAACAGTGCTCTCTTTCCTCTTTTTAGTCATTCTTACTAATTTTTTTAGCCAGTTTTGGAGGGAGAGAGGCCCGCTATGTGCTTTGTGAAAACTGGTGACCCCACTAAGGGAGAAAGAGGCAAAACTCAGCAGTCAGCCATCCTAACATTGTGGGCAACCTAGCTAGCCGATGCACACAGCTCTGCATGACACAAGCTATCTCTCGCCCAGAAGATGTGAGATGAGAGGTCTGGAAGAAAGCTGAGCGTTTTTTTGTGGGTGGCCCAAGGGACAAAAGGTGCAAATCCATAGGAAAACAGATTGTATTACTTCCCTTATTCATAAGGTGACTTGTGTTAAATTGGGTTTACCATGTTGGTTTTCCAGCTTTCTTTGGTGTGTAGTTTTGGGGTTTTTTTAATAGCTGTACGGGTAATTACAGTATGTGTTATCTACTCTTGATTGGGACTGTAATAATTATAGCAAAGTCAATTGTAATTAACTTAGTGCAGGTAAGCAAATAGTTGCCTCAGGGTAGCAGTGTGGGTAAGTTAAATTTCCACATGATCAACCAGAATTGCATAGTTCCCCGTACGCTACTTCTGTAACCCAGCAAGAAATGTTTGGGGTCACGTGCCTTGACAGGAAGATAGATTTTGCTCAGAGATATCTAAAAATACACTGGAAATCCACACTGGTGCAAATGAGGGTAGAATCTGGTTCATTGCTAAGCGAGGTAAATACAAAAATGTGAGGACAGCGAATTGCCAGTTGGTAGAAAATGCCATGTCCAGCTGCAGACTTCCTCACTTCTTCCTCACCCAGTCACCACAGAAGAGCTGAAGATTTCCGAGAGTCTGGGGGTGAAATCCTGAACCCAGTGAAATCAAAAGGACTTTTTCTGTTGACCTCAATGGGGCCAGGATTTCACCCGTAGTTAGTAAAGATGAGGAAATTATTTGGAACAATTTGCTATTCAGAAAGACCTTGGGAAATTTATGTAATTCTCTTCAGAAAGCCCCTGCTCATGAGTCACATTTAAAGTACTGATATGGTTTAATCCTATAATCTCAGAAAGCTAGCAGTTACTCTTTTCCAACAAGTCAGAAACAGCCCTATAATTTCCAGCTAAAGTCCTCCCAGCATTATTTAGCACTTATCAACATTCAACCATTCAACTCGTTTAAACAGGCTAATTCCAGATGACACCGAACCCCTCATCGCTAGCAGAAATTTTAGCTGTTTTCACTGAATGTCAGTCTCCTTGGCTCCCAGTGATGGCTTCATTCAACAAAGTTAATTTTGTATAATTCAGTCAAACCAGGAGTCTTAAATTAACAGTAAAACCGTTTCTCCAGCCTACAAAATAATTAAATGGGCTAATCGTTTTCCAGCACCGGTGGTTTATTCAATTATTTTTCAGTTTAGGTGAACTTTCAATTAAGGTCAGCAGCAGCACCAGAGGGAACCAAGAATGTTCATGTTTTAGTAACGTGTCTGAGAAATTGTGTTAATTGTGGATTTCTACTAGTTAGTGCTAAGTGTACCACGGGCACCAACAAAACCCTACTACAATGTCCACAGGTACTCTCATCCGTCTGTCATTAGTATAAAAAAAAGGAATGGGAGGGTGCCCACAGGGAGGAGAAGCACAGAGGGGGAAGTGTCCTTGGCTATAGAAACTTGCTGCTCTCCTGCCTGAACAGCTCACTGACCTTCCAGACATCCTGAAAGGCATCTCTATTTATTCAGACTTTAGGGAAGGGAGGGCCTACCAGGAGGCTGAGGCTTGTGTAAGGATTTCTGCCGTGAGCCGAGTCCCGTTTTGCAGAGCTGTTTGCCACTGGTTTGCTCTCCTGGGGCTCTTTCTTGGGGCAGGGCTTCTGGACAGTGCCTAGTAGGGTAGGCTTCCAGTCTACCACTGAAATTGTGAGGAGCCACCGTGAAACAAATAACAAAAATAATCAGCCTTATGTCAAATGTAGTCAGTAAGCTGAATAGATTCCCTTTTCATAACAACAAGGCAGATGTTTTCCGATTTCTGAGGAACAAGTCTGCTTTTAGAAATGTTTTACAGGAATGAAAATTAGGTTTTGCTATTGAAAAAAACGCAACAGGTTGCCCTTCCTTTTTCCCCAATTTTTGTACAAATTGTACCTCTGTCCATAAGCCATCAAGAGCACTATCTCATTTTCTCTGGGTTTGTAAAGGCTGGGGAAACTAGAAATAAGAATACCAAGCCTTAAAGTGTGATTACATCTGGGCCTTTCTGATACAATCTCCAGTTACTTTGTTAGGCCATGCACACGGATCTCTGCTCCAGGCTGGTTCGAGTCCTTCTGAAGTTACTGACATTGAAGGCGCTGAACATTTCACAGACCCACACTGGAAAGGCACAGCTTGTTCCCAGTGCGAGTTAATGCTCCATTACTTTATCCTTAGTTTTGGATTTCTCCAAAGAGAACAGCTTTTCTATTAATGGTACCCCGGCTTTTCTATTAATAGTACCCTCCCAATTCAGGTAGATTCAAAGAACTTTATTCGTTTGTTCTCCCCCTACTTTTTGTTTGTTCTTTTGCTGATGATTCTTTCCATCTGCAGTGAACTTTTACATCTCATCTGACAATATTTTAATTTCAGGACATACCTCCTAGCTGTGCATTTCTATTATTTAAGGGTATTCCTGTTTAATATTAATGTTAAAAGTGACTACTTTCAGTCTTTTCTTTTTTGCTTAGCTGCAGATGGCTGACTGTGCCTCTTGGTTTTGTTTCTTCGTATGAATTCCTTTTCCTCTGGTGCTGATGCAATAAACCCCGATAACCATTGAGGTTAATCTTAAACAGCATTAAGAGCAATTACAGTTCACAACCTCTGTGCACGCTGGTTGACCTTAAGCTTTCTGACATCCCACATCATTCCCGAACCATCTTCTGCTGCCTTCCAGCCTCTCAAATGCTGTTATTAGGAGGAAAATTGATTTCCAACAGGAAACTCGTTCTCTGAAACAAGTTTGCTGTTGTGTCACGCCTGACTTGGTTAGGCAACAGTTCAGCAACTGATCTTCTTCGTGTCAGGACACGGGGACAGAAAGAAAAGCGAACGTCCCCGGCTCACACCGGGAGTTCCCGCTCATTTTATGTTTATATAATAGATATGGATACATATATATACACACGGCAGTGGGGGGGTTACTCATCGCCCGGCCAGTCCCGCTACGTCTCCTCAGTCCCTGCCCCCGCGGACCCTCCGGGGTCGCGGTGCCGCCGCCG